CTCAAGTTACATTATGTTAATGAAATTTAGGATTCGTTTAATTTATAAAGAACTATAAATACAATTAATTTAGAAATATAAAAGATAATATTAATAATATTAAAAAATATCAATATTTTAAAAAATAATAAAAATAATTTTAAAAGCAATATCATCCATTAAAATAAATATACTTTATAAATATAAAGAACGTAATAAGAAAAAAACTATTATATATTAATATTAATATTTACTAAATTTATATTATTTTTTATTTTATATTATAATAAGATATACTAAAGTAATAAGAAAAATATTATTCTATATTAATATTTATTTTTATTTATTTATATTATTTTATATTTTATATTATAAAGAAGTTTTTTTGAACAGTAGTGAAATACAACAACAAAAATTTTATTTTTATATTATTTTAATTAATTGAATTTTTGGCTGACCATACAGCTGTTTCGAGTATTGCCAAATACCCATCATCAGTGGTCTTGGAAATAATTCTTGTATTTAATTATTTGTAAATTAATAAGTAATTAAAATTAATTAAGTAATTTTATATTATGTTAAGACTTGTGAGGTTTAAAGTGTTTATAAAAATATTCTTATTTAGATAATAATTGGATAGGCCATATTTTTGTTTACCGTTATAACATAATACATTAATAATGTATAGACTGTATATATATAGTTCCTCAATCATTTAGTGAGGAAGAGTTACGATTGCTGGAGTTCCTCATGTGTCTAAATAATTTCGTTGTCACTTGAGCACCCTAGTTATACTCGTATATAGTAAATTATTCTTGGGATACCTACGTTTTTAGGTCTTTAGGGTGTTAGGGTCTTGTCTGGTTTATTTAAACTTTATACCATCCACGTTGTAAGTTTAAAATTATTCTTTTCCGTTTCGAGGTCTTATACCTTTATTTTTCATTTTAATCCTACATTTACTATAGAATCCCCTAAAAACATTTTTTTCATGAAAATTAGTTATCTACAATTGTTTAGGAATAAATAAAACCATATGCATTTTTTATGAATTACTAAATTAAATTAAAACGTACCTTTATTCAACAAACCAAAAACACATTTACATATTTTAAGGGATAACAAATTTTTATATGTGAGCAACAAAAAAAAAATCAACCAGATGTCCTGTCCAAGGACGTATAGTATGGTGACCAATTTTTACACCCTCTTCTGTTGTCTGCATTTAATTGAAAATACTTAATAATAAATAATAATCCTAAGTTTTGAACCTTTTTTGCATAATAACTACTAGAAATTTTAAACTATTTTTTAAAAAAAACTAAATTACACCAGCTGCTTGTTGTATTTGGGACTACATATGAGGCCCTAACACTACTACAATTGTATTAAAACCAAAAAGGGATTAAACTATTAATAAAAATAACATGTTTATCAAAATTAATTGTAAAAGTTATATAGTTTAGTTTGATCATATTTCAACCTATAATTTATATGACTATAGGAGTCCATTTAATCTTATATTTGTGTGTATAGAACGTGTTCCAACCATATTGTGTGGTTTATCGTCTATTTTACTACCAAAACTGGTTCCCACCCTGTTAAACAGAGAATATAGACATTAATTATTATTATTTTTATAATTTATTATTTAGGCAATTTAATTTGAATGTTATTGTTTCAATTTATAATTCACCAGATTTGGGATGTTTCAATTTAAGTTAATAGTAAATATTTTTCCTTTGATATATTAAATAGTTTTGTGCCCCATACTTTCTTTTGATACTTCAATGGTAATGGCAAAAGAAATGAAAGATAAGGTCTTGTAACTTATATTGAATGCAATATAAGTTACAAGTAAACTGAAGAAAAGCCATAGCCTCTTGGAACTTAAGTCTATAATATGCTATTTTTTTATTTACTGAAACATTATGCTTTTAATGTATGGATAAATAGTTTATATACAAATTAACAATAGCTTTTCACATTATATTTCACACAAATGTATATGTCTCAATGTATTCATAAGTACGATATAAGTGATCCAGGTATTGATACAACGACTCATATGAATAATTACTGATTCTTTCAGGTATCACGCTGTCTATAGATCATATTGTGGTTTGTTTGTAAATAACTATATTTATTTCATATATGCACAAGGTGAATTAAATGATTTATAAAAACAATAATACCATAGTTAAAGCATATATAAGCTTTAATTTCTACAAAGCATATGAGAATTATAATTTACAGAACTTTCAAATATAACAGCCATAATACAGAATTTCAAATATTTATTTAGTTCAGTAATTTAGATTTTTTAGTGTTGGAAATATTTTATAAAAAATGGATATTCGGAGATTTCATTTTATTTAATTTATTTGAATAACTTTACTGTTTTAATTTATAATTCATTTAGATTGGTTGTTTTGATTTTGCGTTTTTGATTGGTAAAGCTGGATTTAATCTAGATTTACTCTTGATCTGTTATATTTTGTTGCGTTATTGAAAATTTTTAGAAGAATCTAACATTTTTGTAGTAGTGTTAGTAGACATTTATATATTTTATAAATACATACATATATCGAATCAAATCACAGCTGTTAATTTCAGGGTAATATTGCTATTTTGGCAAAATATTAAAGTCTTATAAATTAAAGTCTTATAAATGTTATATATTCTACCCCAATAAAATTGTACTAAAGCAGCATTTAAAAAGCTTGTCGATTAAAAAAAATTACCCCAGATTTACTAATCGAAAAGTAATTTTGTAATCCATACTTTCTTTTGTGATTGTTGTGTTACTTTTTGTAATCAATTACCAATACATTTAGATTAATCACACACAATAATTATAATTATATTAATCAACAATACCTATAAGACTTGCAATAAAATAAGGTCACAGTCCTATATCGTTAATATTAGTACCAACCTAACAGTGACTGATACCCTTATAATTATTTTTTTTAATAAAATCTTTTTAAGTACTCTCATTATGTGTATTTATTTGATACCTTATGACCTTTTCTAGGTTCTGTATAGTATATGATTAAAAATAAATAAATACTCAAATTGAACTTTTGCTCTCTTTACCTGGACATGTCATGATGTCAAATCATTAGAAAAGGATCAAACATATTTTTAATAAAAATTTGTAAAGGGTCACGCACATCTAACCGAATATATCAAGTGATGCGCATAATCTATGTAAATTACATATTTAACTGCTGCGATGACTGGACCAAATCAACTCAATCTATAACAACCCCAGTTAACCACATTAAAATATTCTATTTTTTTAAAAAATCAAAAAAATAAAGATTATTCTACTCACATTTCGGAAACAAAATGCGAGTCATTTTAATTTTAAATTGAATAGATGTCCTTTTACGTCGAATGGGAAGATTGTGTCGCATCTGCAACAAACAGAGTTAACCAACAAAATGAGGTCATTATATGTAGTTCATATGCATATCATATAAGGCAAAAATTCGCTTTTGTAATAATTTCTTGCTTCACTGATTGGGTCCAGTTTTGCGTAAACACAGTTAGATGCCCGATAAAATGGATGACATCCTTTCGATAACATTTCCAATGAAACTGTGAGTGACATTTTAATCTTTTTTTTTTGCGTGACGAAGAAAAAATATCCCAAAATTAAATTTGAGGTACTTGAAATTGTCAACACGTATTTGAATTTCGTTGATTATGAGTTTTGTGTGTTAAGATTACAGAGAGAACGGAAGACCTGACTTGGAGGATGGAGGATGTAAAAAAGATGTATAACAGATGACTTCACAATCTATAACACCAACCACTTGTGTGTTCTATGTTATATGAAGTACTTAAAATGCTAAAAAAAATATCTAACTATGATTTACAGAAATCATATGTTACAATCGCAACAGTAAAAAAAATAACAACAACAAATCGCAGAAGAATATTTATAGTACACAGTTTGGTTTAGTATGATGACTGATACCCTTGACAATTTTCCGTAAACGGATACACAGAGGTTTGACTCATTGATTGGAATATATGTTTAATGTATCTTTTTTCCCTCTCTGTAGTTAGTTGGTTTGACAGTTCAAACAGGAATACCCCAAAAACGTTGAAATAAAATTTAGTCATCAGACAGCGCAATAGCGCAAAACTTGAAAGTAGAATTTACCTGCTAAGAACATTTTTAAGGAAATTTAATTTAACAACCTTATTTGTTGAGGTTTGGATTAGGATGCAGGTAGAAACTAAAAGATTGGTGACTCAATTTGGGTTCATTATGAAATCACAGATGAGTAAATAATAATTTTGTCAATAGATTAGCGGATTTTAGGGTGTAAATCACTTCAACGATAATAAGATAGGTTGGAGTGGCTGCCTTTGTCCAAAGCCCATTTTAGTTCAAACAATAGGCCGTTGTGTTACTATTAATATGATACAATATATAAAATTTAATTGTCTATAATATATAGCTAAGGTTCTATTAGCAGAAATTAATAAATTTTTTATTTTCTTTTTTTTACAGATAAACTTAAATATAATTAGATTATAAACAAATGGCAGCAACAAGTGCTGGTCAGCAGCAGCAACAGCAACATAAATTAAATATCGCTGTGGCTGCTACAAATGTTGCGCCATTAAATCAATTTGCTAATATCACAAGAAATCAACAGCAACAATTGCAACAACAACAACAACAACAACAACAACAGCAGCAACAGCTAGCACAGCAACAACAACAGCAGCAACATACATTAAAGCAGCAAACAATGGCAATGCAACAACATATGCAACAACAGCAACAACAAATGTTGCAACAACAGCAATTGCAACAAATGCAATATCAACAACAACAACAAATGCATTTTGAAATGCAACAACAGCAGCAGTTGCAATTGCAGCAGCAACATCAGCAGCAACAACAACAACAACTGCAACAACAAGCACAACAGCGTCAACAAAAATTTGTTTCGCGGGTCGTTACAAATGCCAATAATTTTGTGCTGCAACAGCAACAGCAACAGCAGCAACAACAACAACAATTACAACGCCAACAACAACAAAATACTTATTCAACTGCTATGTTGCAACAACAAAGCAAAACAAATGTACAACAGCCGCAACAACAACAACAGCAGCAACAGCAACAAGCAAAATTAAGTACTACACCAACATCAACACCAGCCACGACAACAATTGCACACGTTTTACCACCAACAATTGCCTCAAGGCAACATCTTCCCATTGCTAATGGTCCAAATAATGTTTCTAATAATCAAAATAATGTTGGTAATAATGCAGTTGCTGCAACAAATGGCAATATTGTTGCTGCAACAAATGGTAATGAAAATGTTGTTAAGGCAAATTTAGCACCTGGCTGGCGACGGCTTGCCAATAACGATGAAGTTGTTTACATTAGGTAAGTTAATATTGCTAGCTTCATCTTTGTTTTAAGCACTTAACTTAAATTTTATTAATATTATTTTTCTGTTTGCAAATGAAATCCTTTTCTCCACTCACTTAAAGCGAAGTTAATCCTTAAATTTGTATTTAATCAGTTTTGCTGCTAAGCAATGCTAAATCTTCTTTGTTGCTGTGTGATTAGAGCCAGTAAACAACACACACACTTATGCAAAGTAAACAGTGTAATAACAAACAACACCCAACAATAGTAAAGTAACTCAGCAGTTAAGGTAATGAGCCAAAATCTCTTTTTAAACGCATTAACCTTGACATGTCCTAAATCGTTCTTATAGCAGCAACAACAACACCAACAAAAATAGTAGAAAAATAGAAATAGTAAAAAAAGAACCAAATATCAACAAAGTGAACTGAAGCAGTATAAGCAACATCAGCTGCAAAAGCAAAAACAAAAGCAACAACAATACTAACAAAAATAAATGCATAGTACAAAAAACAAAAAATAAATAAAATGTCAACAAAAAACACAATACTAAAAGCAATGTAGTACTTATAAGCACCAACATTGGCAGTAGCAGTGAAAGAAAGGAAGAAAGAAGCTATAAATTTTTGCCTACCACAACAACAACAATAATAATAGTAATGCCAACAACAATAACAACCATGACAGTAATAAGCAACAAAAATACACCAAAATACTAAATTTGCTTTGTTTACGTTGAAATTTGCTTTACAACAGCCTCCCTGCACTGTGCTTGGGTTTCGGTGGGTGGTCGGTCGGTTGTACGGTCGGTCGTTGGGTCAGCTTCTCAATGATTTTCTTTTTTTGCTTTATGCTTTGAATTCTGCAAGCTTCCTTTTTGTGCGTGGTATGTGCGCTTTTAAAACGCACTTGTTTGTATTTGTATTGGTTTTGTTGCTCACATAAAAGGATCAACTGCTAAGAAACCATAAAAATGATTAACAACGCAAAAGTTTATTTGACGCATAAAGGAAAAAGGTCCTTTTCCTTTAACGTTTCTTATGGTAAAAATTAGTACCAAAAATTATGGGTTGAATTATACGAAAAACTTTTCAGTTGGGTTTCACTACTTTTTTTGTTGGTGTTTTTGTGTTTTTGTGTTTATCGTTTGTGTTGCTCAATTTAAGCAATAAAATTTCTATTAAATTTTGTTATTTTTTTATTTTCAATTTAATTTAATTTTTCATTTAATTTTATCGATAAGGATACGTTTTGGAATGTTCTTATTTTACTTATTTTTTATGAGAGAAAAGTATTTAATGTACTTTGGATTATATCAATTGTTCTTTTGTTGCGGAAAAGAGCAATTTTTAAGTTTTCCGTTTCGTCTAAGCAAAACGGATTAATAGTTGGGAGAGGAAGGTTTTATTCAAAAACGTATCTCTTAAAGAAATAGTTTGCAATAAGAAAATAATTTTTCGACTTTAATATCAAATTTAATTACGAAAGAGCATTTATGTATAAATGTTGAGCCTTTTCCATGATAGACCCAGCTTTGATAGCTGGGGGGTTTCCTGCAGAGTCCTAACCATCTCACTGACTAATTTGTGTATTCCTCATTAGCATTGTGATTATTCAATGACTGATCTAAGATTTGCGTTCGTGATTACTCTGAGATTAGTTTGTGCTAAGTAGGGGAGCCTGAAAACTTTTATGTCAACGTTCTTAAAAAAACTCCATGGCAGTATAAAGTCAGGATTGCGAAATATCTGTGAAATATCTATAAAGAGATTGTTCTTTTTTTATGAACTTCAGCATATGACTAAAGAATTCAAAATAAAGATTCACAAGTTTCAAAAAGTCAAAATTTCACTGCAGTCCCAAATAAATGAGTGAAGTAGATCGAAGGAAATGTTGTGGTTGAGTGATTAGATCTGCATAATCAGTTGCAAATCCGCTTATATTTTTCGATATGAATATGATGCATTTTGCTAGCTATGGTTACTACTAAACAATATTAGGGAGTTGATTTGCTCATGAGAGCATTTTTCAAGAATTTTTAGTGAAAAGACTCTGCAGTGGCTTTTATAATCAGGTGCACATGCGTTTCAGTTTCCAATATGGGTAAGGGGGTATTTCACAAGCTTAGTACCTTACTAAGCAATACTAGAGTGTTGATCTGCTCATGAAAGGCATTCTTGAAGATTGTGTGAAATTACCGTAGGTTAATATTCGTGCTGCATGCGGACTTTTTTGTTGATTGACACTGTTTTTACTTCACATTAAAAGTTGTTATATCAAAAAACTGAAAGTACTTATATTATCCCAATTAGTCTGAGCTACTTTTTCCAGCCACTCATTAGTTTTAAGTTTGAACAAGCTCCACAAAGGACCGCAGAAAGATTGTGATCCAATATAATATGAGGCCGCCCCTTTTCTTGCTAGTTCATCTGATTTTTCGTTTCCCTCAAATCCGCTGTACACTGGAATCCATTTTAAGTGAACCCTGTTCCCTTCAGCAAGGTCTTTGAGAAGTAGAAGGCATTCCCACACTAGTTTTGAGGTTACTCTAAACTATATTACAACAAAATTATTTATTTTTAGTTATTCGTAACACAAAAAAAAAATATTTATCACAAAAATGTCAATGGACTTTTAGTATAAATTCCAATTAAAATTTCTAACTAATTCATCTCTTAATAAATTGTGTCTAGCGTGAAATCAAACAATAATAAGTCACTAAGACTTATTTGATTTAAAAAAAATCTATCTATTGATCAACCAAAACAATGACTTGATTGTTTTCACATTCCTAGAAGCTATTTTTTATTGCTTTATGGTGTTAAATCATAGTTCAAAGCTATAATATTTTAACATTAATCAGAAGCTTATGATTCTGAGATTCACGAGTCGCATTCTATTGACTTTATTCAGTTATTTTTTTTTCTTTTTCATAAAATCTGAACAAATAACAGGGCAATAAAAATACCAAACCGAACCCTATAATATTAAATATACAAATTAATTTTCAATTTTAAAATAAAATTCATTTATTTGATTAAATATATATTTATGGCTTAATAATGTGTACTTAAGAATTCGTTGGAATTCCGAGCTGATAGCAGTCAACACCATACCAGATGATTGCAATATTATATATTTTTTTGTGGATAGAATGTTCCCAGTCCTCGTGTTGTGTCATGCGCAAATTAAAAGCAAAAATTAAAAAAGAAGAGAAAAAAGCAAAAAATCAATTTATCATTAAAAAAAAATTCAGTTAAAAAATAATAATTTTATATATATTTAAAAGGTTTTGCTGTATAAAAAGATGTTTCCCCTACCACAGCGAATGAAGCTTAACCCTTTAAAGCGCTACGGCTACTTAAACATCCATCATAAAATGAGTATTTGTTATTTATTACTTATACTTTATGATTGTTGTTGTTTTCATTCTTGTTGTGTTGTTATTGTTGTTGTTGTTGCTGTTGTTTTGCTACTACTGTTGCTTCTGTCTGTTGGTTTTTTAAGTTTATATTTTTTGTATTTAAAAAATAATTTCTTTTTTTTTGTGTAATTATTTTTGTCTACTGCATTGAGTATCTTATTTTAATGCAAATATTTACACGCACACATAATTTGTATCTGAGATATCAACTAAACTCATAATTACAAATAATTCAAAAGCCGCAAAGACTTGAGGCCCTTGTGTATCTTGTTTGTTTGTTTATTTGTTTCTTTGTTGATTTATTACTGTAGGCTTATGTTGTTATTGTTGTTGTTGTAATTGTTGTTGTTGTATGTGGCACGGTATGATATGTTTAATCGTTTGCAAATATCGCTCTTCATGCATATTGAAGCGTTCCTACTGCGGCTGTAAATATTGTTGCGTTGTAAACATCTGCTCCAAACTATTATTTACATTTGTAAATGTTATAAAACTTATGAGGAAAATCAATATTGGCATTAAACTGAACTAAATTGGAACATCTCAAGTAGTTATGTTCACCTCATTCACATTTACACATTTGCACATACAATGCGTTCTTGCCATTGCAAGCTGCAAAAGTAGTCCAAGGTTCCAATTTGATTGCGTTTACATATCGGATCGCATGTGTTCGAAAGGAAATTGTTACAAATTTATGAATAGAATCATTTGTTCTCAACTAGGCTAAAGCTTTTTTTTCCACACAAGTGAGGTCTAGGTCAAAAAAGGGTTGTTTCATTATTTGCTATTACGACGTAATACAGTAAATGCGTAAATAAAAACTTATTCTTACAGGAAACTATCTATTTACTACGTTTTAGTATTTGACGTAGGTTAACGTAAGCAAAATACGTTCTACTCATATTATACAAAACTATATTGTATTATATATAACACATATCTGCTTTTGATGCGTTTCTATCCGCATGAAGCGATAGAATTATAGCTAGGCAGTTACGATGTCTATATGTCTAAAATAAAGAGTCTATATATTTAAAATGAAAATACATGTAATTAAAAAGGCATCATCAACCTTGGTGATAATCAGTTTTGATCTTTAAAACAATTCTCTTACATATTTTTATACTCTTTGTGATGTCCTTCCTATATAGAATATTTAATATCAGTAGAAAACTATCGTATTATCCTCGGTGATAATCAGTTTTGATCATTTAAGCAATACTCTTCCATTTTTTTATATTCTTGGTAGATCCTTTCGAATTAAGTACATTAAATATTAGTTAGTCTGCTTTAACTCCATTTTTTTATATTCTTTGTGGTGTCCGCACTATTCAGAATATTAAATATTAGTAGATAATCATCATCAATATCTTTGGGGATAGTTAGATTTGATTTTTCAAGCATGTCTCTTTTATTTTTTTAATATTCTTTGTGGCGTCCTTCCTATACAGTATATTGAATATCAGTAAATAATTATCAATATTATCCTTGATGATAATCAGTTTTGGTCTTTCAAGCAATCTTACTCCATTTCTTTCTATATTTTCTGTAATATCCTCCCTATGAAGAATATTGAATATCAGTGGATAAT